ATATTGATTATCAAATTCATCCTTGCTACAGTGCATGGAATTTTGAGTGAGCCAGGGATAAATTTGGCATTGTTTGCTTTCACTGAAAAGAGATAATGTCATAAAAATGCTTCAGAGAAAGCTGATAATGGTAAGGCCAGTATGATCAGTTTCTTTCAGTTTGCACAAACATTGGAACATTTTTAATGACTTTATTTTTTTTCCATTTGCAGAGGATTTTTGTTTTACAATCAGGAATTCAAAGAGTACTCTATTCCATTCATGGGATCTGATGGTTCTGTTGTGAAACGGACTCAGCGTTATTTGCACACAGAGTTGCAGGAAACACCTGTAAGTTACTGTTATTTGTGTACTATGTCTTCTGGGTGCACTGGCCTGCTTTATACTGTGGCTGATGAGCCTGCCTTTGGCTGCCAGCATGATACTTATGAGAGTGTCTTGTAGGGTTGCCCTGCTCTCTGATTTCTGGATATGTATTTGTAGGGAATGGAAACCATGAGTCACAGTCCCATTTGAAAGGTTGCATTAAATGCATTAATTTCTGTTTCTGTGCCGAGGCTTTTCTTGTTGTACCAGTAGAGCTTCTAAAAGGATCATAATTTTAGTCTGCGTAGCTGTAGCTAGGTCAGCACATAGTGTAGAAATTCTCTGGTAAAGAATTCATATGGTGCTCATTTATATCTTAAGACTTTGATGCTTGGGTCTCCAGTGTGCAGAGTAAAGGCAGTGTGAAGTGATGGTGGTGGAAAAGATGTTTAAATGTTTGTGTTTCATGGTTTCCTGAGAGAACACCAGCACCAATAGTCTGTATAACTGCTGTGCAGAACCACACGCATCAGTTAAGAGAGTGAGATAGTGCTTTAAAAATATCCTTGGAAGCTACTAGTGAGAAAGGCTTGCCATTGCTATTTCAGTTTCTCTTACAGAAAAGGATAAGGAGAAGGAAAGGAGGATCTAGGAAAGAAGGCTGAAATCAGATACCAAAAACATATCTTTCTGTAAAGTTGTCCATTCTTATTTACCATGCCTGCTCCCTCACCACTCTGTAGTTATATTATCTTCTCAGAATGAATGACAAAGTGAAGCATTCTTCAAAGAGTTGCTTAGAACTAAGACACTTGTTTAAGGCTCTATTTAAACTGCTATCTGTTCTATGAAACAACTGCATCTTAATTTGAGGTAGATTAATTTTTTTTAAATTGAAATTTGATGCATTTTAATGCAAAAAATTTACTGTAGATCTTATCAGTGAAAATACGTTTTTGCTTCAGGTCCAGTATGGTGCTTATGTGAATGTAGGTGGTCTTGGCTCTGTTATCAAACTGATGTTTGCTGGCATGTTATTTCTTCTTCTGGTGAAGTTTAACTTTGGAAGAAAACTTCTGACAAAAGTAAGTTTTCAAAACACAAAATAACTCAGTGTTTGGAGATTTTTTTTTTTCTCTCTAGTTTACTATTGGTCTTTTTTTTGTCTTTTTTTTTTCCCCCTCCCCTCTCATCATGTAGTATCCAGAATTTTTCTCTGCTGGACGTTTCACAAAGGAAGGACCAACCCAGAAACAGGTAACTGACTGTTTTCCATCACAGTTGTTCAATACATTTGTTATGGTAATAGTGGAATAGTAAATTAGAATCAACTAGTTAGTCTCAGAGAAATAATTTCTAAATGAATCCAAGAATATTCTGAGTTGGAAGGGACCCACTAGGATCATCAAAGTCCAACACAGGCCCTGCACAGGACAGCCCCAAGAGTCGCACCATGTGCCTGAGAGCATTGTCCAAACACTTCTTGAACTCTGTCAGGCTTGGTGCTGTGACCACGTCCCTGGGGAGCCTGTTCCAGTGCTCAGCCACCCTCTAGGTGAAGAATCTTTTTCCAACCTAAACCTCCCTTGATGCAACTTCAGGCCATTTCCTCGGGTCCTGGTCACCACAGAGAAGAGATCAGTGTTTGCCCCTCTGCTTCCTCGCATGAGAAGGCTGAAGACTGCAATGAGGTCTCCCCTCAGTCTTTTCTTCTTCAGGCTGAACAGACCAAGTGACTTCATCTGCTCCTCATACGGCTTCCCCTCTAGGCCCAAATGCACATTTTGTGTGCCTGTTCAGATAGTTATAGAATATTTACATAATCATGCCTTCTGTTATTAGACATCAGAATATGTGTAACTCCTATGAGGAATAAATGGATAATATTGCTGTATTTACATGGGTATTGATGTATTTACATGGGTGGCTCAGAGCACTCTATCAAAGGTGATGACTGAGGGAGACCGATTAGCAAAAACCTAGGACTGAAAGCACTGAGAGAATAAACAGACTTCAGAAAAAGAGCAGTTCCAACAAAGTGGAAGCAATTAAAAATTGAGATGATACCTTTTAAGCAATAACTCAGAATAAGTGCTCTTATGTTTAAATGGATTATAGTATTTGGCAGAATTCTGTATATAGAATTTGGATACTTATATTTACTACTTGTGTTTGCCTGATATCGGTGAGTTACTGTTTTGGTGACCATGCTTGTCTTGTTCACTACAGATGGATGGAACCTCTTTTACAATGACTTTTTTTGGTGAGGGTTACAGTGAGGGGCAAGATCCCCAGAGTGGCAAACCAAATGTGAAGATCTGCACTGAAGTGAAAGGACCAGGTATGTATGTTAGTAGCAGCTGACTGCTTTTGCCTGCTCCAAAATAAGTTTATGATTCCACTGCTGTCTCTTTCACCCTTGAGAAGGACTTGCAACATGAACAAAGTCACAGGCTTTACAGTGTATTACCTTGGATACTAGAATTCATTGTGACTTGGTTTTTGAAATGGCCAGTTCATTTGCATTCTTGTCATTATCTTTCCTCTGACTTTCCCTGTTCCAATTCTCATGTTTGCCGAGTGGAGCCATTGAAGGGAGAGGGCTTTAAGGATAGTTTTCAGTTGTTATAGCCTGGACTTACTACTTGTGTTTTTTCCAGTTCCCTGGGAGTGAACCTAACCAGGTCTGGTGTGGTATAATTTCTAGCTGTAGCATACTTCTGTTCAGGTCATTCCTTGAGGGGAGACAACACCCTACATGGTTTGGAGAGAGCAAGAATCTACGTTCAGAAAGGAGTTAATCTACCATAGCTTCTTTAAATAACTAGAGATGTAGCTGAATTCAAGCTACACAACAAAGGTCTGAATTTAGGCACAGAATGGAGTAAGTTCTTGCTGTATTGGAGAGCCCTCTCTCACCATGATGTAGACACTCAATGATTGTGGTGTGGTTATAAGCCTATATGTGAAGCAGTATTTGTCTGGATTAGATCTTAAGGACTTCACCAGCTACTTGGGCTGATTACTAGGTAAAAAATGCTGTTTTTAGATGGGGAAGGCCGTTTCATTGCCAAAGAGATTATTCTTCTGAATGCCGTAGAGAAGAACAAAATTACATTCTACACTTCAACACACTGTATGTCATTTGGGGTTTTTGTTTTGTTTTGTTTGTCAGAGCCCGGATATGTTGCTACACCTATTGCAATGGTTCAAGCAGCTGTATCTCTTCTGGAAGATGCACATTCTCTGCCTAAACGGTAAGTACTTTCCCATTCTGAGTAGCTTGCTCTTCCTTAAAGCTACTGTGTGCAAATGTTTCTGTTTGAAAATATGCATATCAACCCTGTGGATTTCTATGTTACCTCACCCAACTGGCTGTGCAAGGGAGATGCTTCACCCCAGGCTGATTTAAAGCCACTTGGTCTTTCCCAGTCTTTCAGTTTGAAAGGATGTAGTCATAGGCTTTTAGTCAGGCTTTTGCATCAGTGTCTATATGTTCAGTTAATGGAATGGTTTCTGTTGGGTTTGCTGGATGCAGAAATGAATCTATAATTATAACCACCTTGCCAAATTTCTTATCCACTCTGTTCTGGGACAAAGTGGCTTTTTCTTTCTTAATCATGGAAGCACATCTTTAACTTCACAAAAAGGTGTCCCTCGATCACCGTGCCACTAATGTTTTTCTCTTTTCACTAACAGGGGTGGTGTATATTCTCCGGGAGCTGCCTTCTCCAAAACAAAACTGATTGATCGCCTCAACAGACGTGGTGTTGAGTTCTCTGTTATTAGCAAGCCTGAAGTCTGAAGACAAAACATAACTATGAATTAACACCTTTACTGGGTCTAACTCCAATAAAACTCATTTGGCTGCAAAAGCCTAATCATAAAGTAGTTTCACTGTGCAATTGTTTGCAGCAGAAACAGAAGAAAACTTGAGTTAAATGTATAATACTATTTGCTATAGTGAGAAAATCCCTAAAGGGTGGGTATTAAGTTTTAATTCACAGACATATTAAATTGGTAACTTCTTGGGTACTAGTTCTAGAATTTTAATGTTGCTCATCTAAGTTTTTCAGGTTCCCACTTAGTGGACCAGCTATAGTGTCTGCTTCACAAGTAACCATAGCCACCTCACTTTACCCATTCTGCAACTATGTAAAGCAGGCAGGCCTGGGATAACAAGTGCCTTAGCAGATGAAACCACTAGTTAGTCCTTGTGTTTGGCATGTCTTTAATACCATTTTCAGTTAATCTTTATTTAATAACTGTTCTTAGTGCAGATCTGTGTGTTAGGGTTTCTACAGTTAGGTAAGTAGTAATAAACTGTATTACTTTTGCACATTGTAACGATAGAGGCTTGTTCTTTTGATCATTTTGGAAGCTGTTTGACCTGATGCAATCCAGGTTCTAGGTGCACTGGCCTATTTCATGCTACTTGATACTGTAACTGATGAGTCTGCTTTTTGCTGCTAGCATAATAATGACAGTGTGATGTCGGGTTATCTTGCTCTCTGGGTATGGATTGGTAGGAAATGGAAGCCTTGAGTTACAGAAATATTGAAAGGTAGCCTTCTTGATTTTTGGGAGTGATAAATACATTAAATTATTTTTCTCTGCAAAGGTGCTTTTTTTTTTATCTTGTAAAAACTCTGAAAATTAGTCTGAGATATATAAAGGTCTATATCTCAGCTGCATCACATTCACCATTTTTATTATCAGGCAAGCCACATAAAAACTGATGCTTTATAGAATCATAGCTGTATTGAAGATTGCCTTATGGATGTAGTTCACCATATAATGGTGGTTTAGGTGCTGCTTCTTAAGCTTTTATGCCTTCACTGCACTGTCTTCAATAACCTAAAGTTAAAAAATGCCTGTTAATACTTTATTCCTTACCAAACAGACAAACTTCACACTGATGAAACTGAAGACAGTGAAAAGCTGCTTTTCCTTTCAGATCACTACCAATTTGAAAGTTAGAAACATACAATGTACTCTCTACTAGAGATGATAGTTCATTCATTTAAGGGGCAGAGATCAGAGCAGTCAGTGTATGCAATTCACAGGCTCCCTTTCTGGTATTTCCATTCAGGACTAACAATGTGCCACTGCCCATGGACAGTGGGCAGTTTTACAACACAAGGTGTGTATGCAACTGGCACTGATCATCACATTGCAGTGCCTTCTGCACTACTCCACACCCACACAGAGTGACCCACTCTGTGTCTGACAGGGTAAAACACAATTATGTCCCCGGAGTTTAAAGTTTTGGTCGTGACAACAAAAAGAGTATTTTTCAAATTAATTTCCTGAAGAAACAAGAATATGGCATCTCCTTGTCTGCAGTGCTATCTCCTATCCCAGTACTTTTTGCAACTTCCACACTGCTCTTCCAAAAGGCACACAACATGTTATTCCGCAGAGCAGCATTTCCAGTTGCTGTGTCCAGCACGGCAACTCAGCAAAGCAACGGCCACAGCTTATTTCTTCACTAATTAATCAGCTGTGCACAACATGAAATGAAGTGACTGCTATAAAAATACCTTCACATCTTCATGTAGAAGTGTTCAGGCCTTCTCAAGTTGGCTCAGAAATGCTTTACAGTATTGAAAGGGTTTAAAAGGAGGAGGAAGAAGCTAGTTCAAGGATATGGGTGATATTTTGTAACAAGAGAAAGGTCACAACGATTTTGTTCAGGTAGGCAAATGCAAAAAGATTAAGTCAGGTTTTATTGCCTTGCATGGTATCAATTTGGTGGCAGTGAATAGAAATGCAGCTTAACACAAACAACTGATAACTAAAATTATTGCAAAACATCATCACTGAATTTGACAGACACTTGGCTGATATTGCTTAGTTGTCATTCACGTAACTGTATTAAGAATCTGAAGCATGCATATGTGGCTTCTAGAAATGCATGTCAAGCTACACAGAGCTACTGAGCACTTAAATACTAAGACGGTTAAGCTACAAATTGCATCTTTTAAATAGCGAACTGTGGATTGAAAAGTCCAAGTTTAATTTACTTTGTTCTATGCAATAAAAATAAGTGTATTTCTCCAAGCTATGGGACAAACTGATGTTAACTGAGAACTAAATTTCCCTCTTCAAGACTGTTCCAAACTTACTGTTTCCAGTATGTTTTTGGTTTGGTTTGGTTGATAGCAGCTTTTTAAAATACAAACCTTAGCCACAAGAGGAGTCTCCAGTAAATTCAGCTTTGATGCTCCTGGAGAATTCTTTTGTGAGCTAGAGCGATGTGTCTTTGATTTCAGTGGGCTGGATACCACAAAAGAAGTAGAAGCTCTGCACAGTGTCTGCCAGCTTTCATCCTGTGCCGCAGAACAGGAAGGAACAGGACGAACCACCAAATCCAGCAATCTGTTAGGACACACAACTTTAACTATGAATGTAAATAAATAAATGAAAAAAATGCTATGTTCATCTGAGATGATACAGAACAAAAACGTTCAATGATCAACAAATGCAGGTGAAGCCTCACTGCTGGGGTGATGTATCAGGGTCACAAACAAGTGACAGACACTTGAGGTGTCAAAGTCTATACACCCAACAGCTTGATGGTAGTTTTTAGTCTCAGCTATCTTAAACTCTGTAAGCACATTTACCGTAGTGTAAATACATGTATTTGCATAAGTAAGATTGTCATACCAAAACAGTTTCTCTAAATATTACTTCCGATTGATTCATAAATGTTATATATTGTATGTGCAAAACAAGTGAAGCAAAGCTTTATTCACATGCACCTTCCCACCAAAACCCTAACATAATTCAAATTTCTCTCTTTCATTCTCTCTTCCCCCAAAAATGTAGCTCAAGACTAAACTTTGTGAAAAGGCTGCTTACCTGTAATATTGTGAGATACCTGTTTTCTGCTCATTTCCCAACCATACTTCTCTAAATTTGGACAATACTTTACCGATGAAAGTTGCTCGTGTGTGCACATTTCCTGCATTAGCCTGTCGTGTTACTGCTGATAATGCCTTTGGCCTTGGGACTGTAAAGCAAGAGGGAAAAAATACCAGCCTTGTGTAATCAAGGTGATGGCTGGTTGTCAATAATTCCCCCCTCTTAAAGTTACCTTCTCTTAAGAGCGATGAAGGCACACGGTAAGGCTTGGTTCTCTCTACAGCCAGCTTCCTTTGAACTGTAGGAAGGATTTTACTATATTGGTCTAGTAGAGAATTTCTGGCAACTGCTCTCTCTCTCAAGCGAGGATCACGATTATTCTGATAAATGAAATGAGTAAAGCAAGAAGTTATTTACAAGAAGTTTATTGCATGGAACTATCTCTGCTCTTCCTAATTAGGGCCTAAATTTGCTCTACAGATACAGTAAAATATGTCCACTGCACAGAACTGCAGCAAGGTCTATCCAGCCGCACACCAGTTTCAACCAATAGTTGAAAAGTGCAAGGAAGATTGAAATAACAGCAGAACCTGCAACTCCCAGTTAAAACTACTCTGGCACTCTATAGAGCTTTATTCTTATATACTTCGTATCACCTGCAATTTTCAAGTGGCTTACAGAACAGCAGGTTTCCCCTGGTTTTTCTGAAATACTAATGTCCAAGACAACTGAAGACACAGGGCAACTGCAAATTATGTTGGACAAAATTATGGGAAAATTAAGTTAGAAAAAGCTGCTTACACAAACCTGGTTGGAACACAGTTTTCACATGCAGGAACTAATATTCCAAGACCACCTTATAAGTTTGATTTTTCAGGAAAACTATGGTTCCAGAAAACAGCAAATGTGTTAGAGATCCCCAACGGAAGTTCACATAACACAAAATTTCATCTTAATATTTTCAGAAACATGAGTAAGACTTTACATCATAAAAATAACATGAAAGTTGTGGAATCACAAAGCTTGCACTTTAGTTAGAGAAAATAATAATACAAAAAACCCAAACCACTAACCAAAGCCCACTGTGCATATTTTACCTGTGGAGCATCTAGACTGCTCTCAGTTCGAAAAATAAAATTGTGTACAAGACACAATATACAACATACATTTCATTCCACAGAAATGAGTGACACAAACACCTTCCATAGTCTAAGCCATACATAGCAAAGGGATCTCAGGAACTGAAGGAACAGATGGGCTGGTAAGAAAAGATACATATTTATTCCTCAGATGCAAACAAACTATTTCAAGTGGAGTCAACCATGGTCTGTAACATTTAATTTACAACTTCACAAAGCAGCTTTGCCATAGTAAAATTATTCCTAGTCTTTCAAAGAATGATACAAGAAATAAAGCAGGCCTTTTACTGAGGACTATCAAAACTGGAGAACCACAACTACAGAGACTTGCACACTCGACAGGACTTCTACCCTTACCATAAGATTAACCTTCATTGACTGATTCAGCTGCAGTGCAGGGATATAGTTGGCACGCTGCAGATGGTGGACTAGAAGGAATTCGTGATTCTGAACACCAGCATTGGTCTGTAAAAACTTCTCCAGACACTCCTGCGAGAAATAACACATTACAAAAACCTATTAGGATTCTGCCTCTTCTCTTGACAAACAGACCATTCAGACTTTTTTTGTCTTCTCCAAACTTACTTTTTCAGTGTCTGTGAACGGCAGCTTCAGTAAATCTTCCATTAGCCCCATCTCCTGACAGATTTCATACATGTGCTTTAACAGCTCTTCTACATTTAATTTAGTGGTATGTTGCTGCAACAGACCCCAAGCCTCCACCATGCACCTGCAGTTAATTTTTGGGAGATGGAAAGGAATGGGAACAGCATAACCAAAAAGATGCCCCAAGGTCATTGTATTCATTCAAAGATTAAAGGAAATGTAGAGGATCACCATTTGTATTATCTGCTCTCGCCCTTTCCCAGGATCTGAATGCCAAAACGGTGGGACAGATTTCCTTACCTATTGGACAACAGTACAGTGAGGAAAAGCCGCACTTCGCTACTGCTTGACATGGATGGCTTCATCATCTGGATGTACCTGAGGGCTCGCCTGTGCTCTCCTTGGCACATGAGGGACTGAATAATTCTCGTGTGTTGCCACGGCACAGTTTTGATTGTAGCTGGGTGGAAGAGCAGGGCCAGTGAATTCTGCACAAGTCAGAGATCACGTTTATCAGACTATATACATGCACACTTGCCACACATACAGGCCACACTTCCTTAAGCAAGGCTGCAGGTGGGTTAAACACACTTAGATGTCTAATGAAATATTTGGTCCGGGACACATCAATAAAAATTCCAGTATTTGCAGAGAAATAATTCAGTTGGCCGTACGGAACAAAGCAAATGTTTTAAAAGGAGGAATTCAGACTTTTCTAAGTTAACAAATCTTTGTGCACAAACATTCCTTTTTACAAATATATTACTAAATAAGAAGTTACTCTACAAATTGATTCTATTGATATGGTGACAGGCAAAGAACAACCTCCAGCATCAGGAAGAACAGGAATTAGGTTGAAAAGTCACGTCTGCAGTCTTCCACCTCAAATCTTGCTGATACCCTCATAGGTTTCACATTTAAAGTACCCAAAACATCTTAGAGAAAATGCTTAACTGCTCTGCTGAAAACCTCCAACAATAGATAGTTTTGAAAATTCAAATATCAAGTGTTATTAAAGTTGACTATTCCTTTGTTTTAAGTAATTTCCTGTCAAAGCAGTTAAAGTAAAATTTCAAATCATAGCTTACTGCTCCACAGTGCAGTGTTACAAAAATGCTTCTAATGTTTCAGTATCTCCTAATATCTAAGCACCAATTTTTCAAAAATAGTTTTATCAATTACAGCTCTGCACTGCAATGTGTATCTAAGTAAACTGTTACATACTTACTTCGTAATCACTGTGATCTAGAAGCCAAAACCCTTGAATAAGTTTAATGAGACCCCAAGGGATAGCAAAGGCATTTAGAAAAGAGTCAATTACACTTTCTGTTTTATTCGGAGAGGTATGCATGATATCCAACAGCAAGTAAATTGTCTGAGAGTGAGTACCCTAATTAAAGCAAATAAATTGGTAAGACCAAAAATTTATCACATTACATTTAGCAAAACAATGAAATGAGAATATAAAAATGGTAGGAAGCAGAACATACTAACATATTAGTCTTGCTATTTTAAGCTATTATAACCTGAAGGTAGCCAGGTCCTAATCACAAATTGCATTCTGAATAAACAGCCAGAAAGAAACACTCCTGGATTTCTGTAAGGCAATCAAAAAAGCCAAATTTGAGCATTTAAATCCTGCTGTTATAAACTTAGGCTCCTGCTTTAGTCAGTGGAGCTAGCAGTCAAACATCCAATAATTAATTATTAATTATTTTGCATACTCTGGAAATGAGGAAAAATAACTATGTAAATTGTGGTGCCCTTAAAATACAACTTAGCACTGAATAATTGAAACTAGATTTAAAATGGTATGTGGATCCTGCATTTGAAGTGTCATTTTCCCCTTCTGACATCGGTTGTTAGGGACATATTCTAATTAAAGACAGTGTGGGAGTACAACAGTATTTAAACTCCTTGCTCTCTAGGCTCCCCTTTTGGTTTACCTGACAAACAACAAAAGCAGGTCTGCATGTTCCAGCAGCTTAAAAATTAGGTTTCTGCCCAATGACTGTTCCCTTCTCCCTCTTTATTATTCTGTGTGCCTGCAACTTTCAACACAACAAAAGCAAGCACAGTTAGCTGGGCTAGAAAATGGATGATTTTGGCAAAATCACGTACTGGAAAACCACTGTTAGAAATCCTTTGGCTCTGAAGCAGCACGTTTTAGTGCACCATTCTAACACACAGTCATTTGCTACAGATATGGGTACTTAAAATTTAAAAACTGGTAAATTTTGAGAAAAACTAAGGGAGGTTTTTAACTTGAACTTTTCTTAGAGAACCTGTTTTCTCATATCAGAAAAGACTTTGCAATAAAACATTAAAAAAAAACCAACCAAGAAATCAGAAAAGATCCAAACTAGAAAGAAATAAAGCAGTGCTTCTGTCTAGGACTTAATTCTATACTAAATATGATCACTCACATTCTGTTTGAAGCATAAATTTAAAAACATTGTTAAACATATAAATGACAAACACATAAGAACAGTTATGTGCCTATTCTGAAGGCTCAATGAGAAAAACTAGAAAGGATACAATTGCATGTTTGTCACTTTCTTCAACACTTTCCAGCAAATAGAGATCCAGCAGTGCCTGAAATGAAAAATTAAAAGGTTTTCTATTGCTCCTGTCTTTCAAAATCGTTGGCTTTGGGGGACTGCTGCTGCTGGTGGTGCTTTCAGTGAACAGAACACTCACATGTAAACTAGCAGGTGGGTATTTCCCAGTTCCTCCTTCATCTCTCTGCCACAACTTCTCAACTTGGTCTCCTAACTGGGAAACCATTCCATCAATCATCAAGCAGTCAGAATCCCATTTTCCTCTGCAACAAAAAGGAGCAAGGATTTGGACAGAATAAACCACTAAGTCCAGCCTCTCAGTGTTAACAGATTTCCACCAGTCAAAACAAAAAACCCCCTTCCTATGAATCAAAGAAAGGAACACATGCACACAGGCATGATTATGGCTTGAAATGCACATGGCAGATATTTCTGTGCTGGAGGAAAGATGGTCTTTAGGTCACAAGAATTAGTAAAGGAGTCTAAAGTAGAAATCCAAGAGAAAAGTTGCAATGACCGTTTATAGGTTTTCTTTGCTGTTGTATTACGTGTAAAACCAAGGAAGCATAGGCAAAGGGTTTTAAGTGGAAAAAAACCCCACTCTCCTACAGTCTAACAGAGGAAGTTTTTCCAGAGCTTTCCTGCAAGTCATACCTTGATAAACGCTCAAGTTTCTGTCGGTGACCAGTATAGTAGCTCTGAATCAAAGGATAATTGTAGAAAGGTCTAGACAAATGCACATGGTCATCTACAGGCAAGAAAGTGAAAGCAAGTTAAAGTAAGACCATTTCTTTAAGTTTTAAGTTTTTCTCAACTAAAACTTCTCATTATAAGACAGAATATCAGACAAGCATCAATAAGCTTTCAACTCTCTAAGAAGCCAATCCTGTTTCTGCCTTTGCAAGGAGAGAACTAAGACAGAATATTTGACTACTACCTCTTGTCCGAAGATCCATTTCAAGTTTACAGCTAATGTGGCATTCAGAGTATGTAGTGTAAGCTCAAGTTCACTATTAAACAAGCAACTATCAAAGGGAATGGTTTTTTGAATGTGACATGTGAACATTCATAAGACAATTAAGGCTGATAATAGAATTTATAGTCTATTTAAATTAAGGGTATTTCAAAGTATATTTTCATCTCAAGCAACAAATACAGGTAATGCTTCTACTGTAAAAACAAGTGTTCCAGTATTACAGTATAGGCTTACCTAGATCCTCAGGAGGGAGACTGGATCGACAGAACCAGATGACCACTTGTGCATACAAAGAAATGAGGCTAGTTACCAGCTGCTTATTTGTCAAGTCTGTAAAACCTGAAAAAAGGGCATGAGATGATAAAACTTGAACTATTAGATACAGTAACAAAGAAGACATCTGTTTTTTATGTAGCAGAGATTTTTACTATAGCAAAGGGATGGTTGTCTTCTCCCCTCAAGATGCCAACAACAATTTCTAATAACAGAAGCTACAGAAATTCATGCAACTTACAAATTACTCACTTCAGCTTCCTTTATATTTTCTAGCCATTCGCACACAGCTATAAATTGCTAGCTAAGAGTCAAGAATATTTTTCAGCATTACCACACATTACCATAAGCTTACACAGCTTATTGCTGAATCAATGTAGCCTCCTCTACCCACTCACATCAACTCCACAACCAGCCGTTCCCCTGAACTCAAAGCACCTTAAATCATAGTCCCAACTTCTCAGATTCAAGCCCCTCCTCCCACCTCAATCCGACTGCCTCCCAACCATCCAAAACAACAAAAGTTCATGTCTCCACAGTTACAACCCAAGCATCCTTCCAGATCTTCATCAAACAGACCGAAGATTTAGCAGCGCTATCACCAACCTTTCTCAGTAAGCTCTCGTGCTTCTGTCAGAAAACAGTTTAAGACTGTGCTAAGGCTGCTCAAGAGCAACTGGCAGTGCTGAAGGGACTGTAATGTCTGGGGGTCAATGAAGTTGCAGGAGCCGTCAAACAGCGGAACACCTTGTCAAGAATAAATATGAAATCATTAGTCTACAGAGCAATTGTAGACTTCCAAAGGACACTTAAAGAACTGGGTGCAGTGTCATATACTGGCAGATCACTGAATAAGATCCTTTAGGAAGAGTTATTTTAGGTTTCAAAAAAGACAACAGGAGTACTCACATATTTGGTCCAGTTCATCTTTTGTACAGATTACTTTGTTCCATGTCCACTCAAGAACAAACCGTAAATTAACAGCAGAACTTGGCTGCTCTTTAAAAAGAGAAAGCAAAAAAGAAATAAATACACAAGGTCAAACTAAAACATACAGAACATAAAAATAATGTCAAGAGCATTACCCTCACAAGTCCAGTGTTTGATGCATCCAGTCAGAAGTTCTAAAGAACCTGTCTGGACAGCAGCTGACAATACTGCTTCCAACTGCTCCTCCTAAACAGAACAGACCAAATGAAATGAGAACCTCACAGACTTCTGATACCTTTTGAACCATCCACAGAAGTGTTTCTTTCCAACTGGATACTCATTCAGACAGCACAAAGTCAACTAGTGCACATGCAACTAATTCCACATTCTTCTTCTTAATTCTAGCCCTGGTTGGACTGCCTGTTGCTCTGAGGAACACAGCAAAATTTTCCTCTGACATTTCAACTTACTGCAGGCTAATTCTAATCTGCATTTCCATGCCTCTGTGTTTTAGTCTCCATTCATTGAGTTCCAATAACTATTTTCAGGAACATCTTGTGCTAATATCCCTCATGCACTTTGTGCACATGTTTGCCATCAGGAACACGTGAAGGGGACAGAACTAATACAACTGTGTCTGCATGGAAACAGTGAAGCTCAGGTCAAGCAGCTTCCAGGACTCACAACATGAAGCAGCTTTGACACCCAAAACATTAAGTCGTAATTTGTTAAAGTGCCAGAAGAGAAGTGAAACATTTCAATTCTAAGGGGCTGTTCAAATACTGCAGTATAACATCATGGCAATCATTGAGAAGGACAATGCACAGGTGTGCACACATCTGAGGAATCAGGTAGCAGCTTATTTCAGGTGGTGTTCAGACACTTCTTTCAGGTAAAATGATCCTGCATACATTTTACTTTTTTCTTTTTATTTTCCTCTATGTTTGTTGTTTTGGTTTTCTTAAATTCAACAACATGTTTGCTTTCTAGATAAATTGTTACATTCAAGGAGATTTCTACACATTAGAAATCTTTTTTTCTGAAAATGGGTTTGAAACAAGGAAACACACCAAATACTACTTACAGTGGCAAACAAAACTCCAAATCAAGCTTCTTGACCCTTATTCTGAAATTTATCTTTCTAGCCTTTAAAAGCAACCCCCACTTGAAAGCATAACAAGTCTCCGACAATATAGTCACAATTCAGCAAAGGTCATCACAAAATTTTTTGCTTTCCCAAGTTATTTCCAAACCAGAATTAATACCAGAACATCTAACGGGAACATAAGAGCCCTCATCAGGCTCGCAAAATAAGTGTTCTATGGGTTGGGTCAGCTTTCAAAGAGGGTTGTTCCCAGTCAAACTCAGTGGTTTGGATCTAACAATACTTTTACTTTTGCTAACTAAAGTCAACAATGCCTTTCAATGCAACTGGCAAAACACATAAAAATCAGACGATCATGTCTTGTAGCCTCGACCATCCCATCAAAAAAGATGGATGTATTTTCCCCTGGATTCCCCAACGTACACTTGCCTGACTCAAACTGGATGGCTGGACATCAACCAGTCTTGGAGACAGCGAGCCACCTACGAGACATCTGCTGTAGCTGTCATGAATGGCTACACTTGTTAGCGGGCCAGATTTCTTCAAAGACTTCAAGGTCTGAAACATAGGTCAAAAACCACTGATTAAGACAGTATTAATACTCAATCACTAAGGTTCTGTCTTAAAAACAGCAGCCAAACTAACAGTTCCAGTTTATAAAAAATATCCTGTAGAGGAAGATATGAAAATATCAGCCATTGCAATGCTGAAGGAAGGATTTTCTAGCTTCTCTGTCACTACACAGGCCCTGCTTTTTCCCTGACCACTGACACAAATTATATTCTGTAGAAAATAAATCTAACACACAACTTTAAATCACACTTTGGAAGATCCCTTCTATGCTTGTTTGTGCAGAAGCTGATTCATGTTGGAATATTTAGTGAGCTGGAACTTAATTTGAAAGGATTTGTCACAAGTTGTGCAGTGGCTCAGAAGTTATAATTTGGCTGATGTGGGGAGAAAAAAATATTAATTTCTTCTTCAACTGTTAAATAATTTTTCCTTTTTTCCATTCTGTCTTTCTTTCTCAAGTTAATCAGGGATCAAAACCTAACTCCAGACTGTGCAGATAGTTTGATTGATGGGCAATGAAGTAACTGCTTTCCCCAACTTCCACAACACTTTTGTTCTTGCTCCAACAGCAATGTTACATTCCTTTCTAGGCATTCAATCCCTACTTGTGCTTCCCTGAATCAGAACTATTTGCATAAAACTGGCAGGACATAACTGCAGTTGTGCATGTGGACAGACAGGATGAACATGGAGTGATCTCCAACCCTCAAGGCAGTACAAACTTACAAAAGGTTAATTTCATTCTCAATATAGATACAGTAAAAAAGTCACCTCTTTCTGGAAGCTGGTGCAAGTCATGTGAACGACTCCTGAGTTCAGCAAGCACGTAACATCTGCAGAAACAATGAGTGTTCAACAGCCTTCAATATTCCCACTGTATGACCTGTTTCTGTTCTTTAAATAGCGAGATCTGGAAAGACATACCCTGAGTGCCTCTTTTCTTCATCAGATTACTTTAAAGCTTCCTTAAAAAATCATTTCTGTCTGTAGAAACTTTATCTGTAGAGCTACCGAGGTGCTGTGCTTTGTACCTCAATCCAAAGTCATTTCATCTTATGACCATCAGCCCTTCACAGGCTATGTTACAAAAGCACCAAAACCCACAACTCAGCAGACTGTCAGATATGTTTCACAATACTGAAGAGCTTGTTAGCACAAGGTAACCAGGTTTGTGAGGGTTTGGGGTTTTCGTTTGTTTTGCTTTTGGCAGGACAAATGAGGAACAAGAAAGATAACCGCTAAGTGGCATTTGACCTCAACTGAAGCTTGTCACTATTCAAAGCAGTGAAATACCTACCAAAGTTATAGGTGCTTGGATTAAAAAACTGCTCAGGTGGTGGATAAGAAGGAGGAACTCCCCGACTTAAACTCCGCTCATGTACCAGAATATCCAAAAGGAGGTTTGGAGAAGTCATGCTTATTACAGCATCCAGTGACCACAATGCAAAATAGGGGCAATCGTGAAGGAATTCTTCTGGTCTTAAAGAAAACAAGTGCATCAGCTAAACACCAACTTTCAAAGGACTTACTTGTGGGGATATTGAAAGCAGTCTAATAAAAACCTACCTCAGTGAGTCTGGCATTTGAGCATGATACCAGCGATTGATGTCAAATACACCCAAATAAGTAGATGGTTTTCCCTGACCATATGTATTCACTTGCCAACTGAAGATTGATACACTGGTGTCAGGAGAGATTACTGTCAAAAACAAGCCATTGTTTCTTATTGTAGAAAATACAAAATATTTGTTGTTTTTAAAACACCACTTTCTATTTTGGTTTAATTCTGTTATTTCACTCGTGAAACCCGACACTTCACTAAGAATGATAAAAATAATTTACAGAATATCGAACATCTCAGTGACAGGTTTCAGTCATACTGTCTCTTTTGCTTGTTCAAATTGTATTTGTTCTAAACCAAATCAAATACATAACTGTTAATTAATTAAGTTTTGCATGCTAGATTAATAGTTTAGGGGGAAAATAGGCTAGGAACACATACATAGCTACTTTTAAAAAGCATACATTTATTTATCTTATACAGTTGTATCACTCAGCTAGCATGAATAATTTCCAGATTTGACTCAATTACAAGTTTAAAGGATAACTCCTCTCCATCATATTCAGAATGAAATAACAGCATTATCACACTAACTAACTAACTAATTATTATAATTAAAAACACAAACAGGAAATTGGAATAAAGATTTTGACATAAAACATTCATAGTCTTCTATTTTGGTTCTCTCAATAAGTGGAATGCTCTGTCTTCCCTGGGGAGAATGCCCTCTCTAGACACAAAACAAAGTATGTGAATATCATTTACCCTAATAGAGTAAGGAACAAAAGCAGACAGTATATTTGGCAAAATGTTTCTCTGTTCTCTGTTGAATTCACAGTTACTATTTAGGGATCCTCACAGACTTTGCTGTGTCTCATTAAGAACTTCTGTGCCATTTCCATTTTGTTAGCTGCTGAAACTGTCTTTGAATTTAGCAATTACTTTCACAATTCAGAAGACAGCTTCACTGCTAGCCTCAACACACATCCAACACAAGCTCATGTGTCCCCCAAACCTAATTTAAGCAGGTTCTCAACAAAATAGAAACCACCAGAAAACTCACAGGTATTTCGCTATGCCTTTTGATTTAATAAAAACGAGACAGAAAAGGATTTTCTTCTTGTTGTTATGTTGGGGGCTTGGGGTTTTTTAGGGGTGTGGGGTGGATAATATTCAGCAAGTTGTCATCCAGGACTGCTTGACCCTTTTTACCAGGCAGATTTACAGACACTCGTCCGCAATCCTGTAGTGTTGCAAGGGGTTCTTGAACCTCATAAAATTGGCCTTGGCCCATCAATCCAGCCTGTCCAGATCCCTCTGCAGAGCCTTCCTACCCTCCAGCAGATCAACACTCCTGTCCAAGGTGGTCCCAAACACCTTGAGGGTGCACTCGATCCCCTCGTCAAAATCATTGATAAAGATATTCCATAGGACTGGCCTCAATACTGAGCCCTGGGAAACACCACTAGTGACCGGCTGCCAACTGGATGCAGCCATAGGCTTGAATGGGGAAAAAAAACCTCAGGTAACATTCCTGAGCAGTAGAGAGAACAATCTTACTGTTCAAAGATGACAGCTGGTTGAATAAACTGACTGACCAGCATTATACAGATGACCCCACTATACATTCCTCTAGCATGTCAGCAAACATAAAATAAAACCTATTTTTCCCTTAAAAAATGATATTCAGAGGAATAAAAAAGTTCCACATAACTTAAGCATCCAATTTCTTTTAAATAAGCCCAACAAGCTTGGCTAGACAGTGGGTACAGAACAGCATTCATTGCTTAGATTCCCAAACCATGCAGTTTAGAATAATGAAACATGAACATCAGAACAAACCTTCATTAACGCTGTCCTCTTTGTCAACATGGTTGCAAAATTTTTCTATGGTCTGAAAGCTGAGGAATTTAGTATTGCTGATCTGCCCTCTCAAGGGAAAAATTCCACCAGTAAGATCTAAACTGTACAGTTTAACACAGTATTTAAAATCCTGGGGGGAAAAAATTGAAGAAGAGAGAAAAGGTCATTTTGAGATAAAAACATACATTATACCTAAATATGAAATAATGCAAATATCTAATATAATATGCAAGTTATACTGTATATTTCCTATGAATAGAAACTACATCTGACATGCAAGAAAATTAAGTGTCAAATCATAATGGGCAAGTCTGGTTGTAAAGAAAAAAAAAAGAGTTACTAGAGAGAGTGGCTAGAGAGAGAGTTACTAGAGAGAGAGTTACTAGAGAGAGAGTTACTAGAGAGAGAGTTACTAGAGAGAGAGTTACTAGAGAGAGAGTTACTAGAGAGAGAGTTACTAGAGAGAGAGTAACTAAGAACCTTTTACAGATTTAACAATCTTCTTTCAAACTTCATAAACTCTTACCAGCTCTTCCTCTAATCTTGTAGGAGACTAATGGGTGAAATATCCCTCAATTCCTTATAAAGAGGACATGGAGTGCACATGGACAATGTGTCTAGGATCACAAATTACTACAGAGTAAGCAACCTCTTTGAGATACACAGAAATGGACATAGAGAAAGGATTCTCTTGAACCTCTGATATCACCATTTTCTAAGAAAACATTAACTGAAATACTGTCTTTCCAAATACAACATTCATTCAAATTGTCTACCATACAACATGTGAATACTGTACTTCTGAGGGTTGAAAGTCCAACATTAACTACACCGCAGCTTTCTCAGGTTACAAACACAATAACAATATTTAATCACTTTGTGTGCTTTTTTTTGAAAAATGAGGAAGGAACTTTCCTATACATAAGGAGAAAGGGACAAAATTTAAACTCATTCAAAAAATTCAAAATGTGTAGTCCCTATAGAGTACTACAGTTGAAGAATCACCTCAGTTTTATTCCATACCTAATGAGAAAATGCAAGACAAGGTATCAAAGTAGGAGGAAAGACTTGCTCTGAATTAAGATTACTTTCCCACCAAAAAGATCTTAGAAAAGTTTCAAGTACACTTCTGAACAGAATTAAACATTGTACAGGTGCCTCTCATAGATGTTGGACATCTGAGACCTCACCTATCTTTTAAATACATCATCTCTGGAACCAGTTCTAAAAGTTTACGGAGACTCTTTGACCAAATCATATCACTATTCATTGAATTTACATATTTTGCTGGCTTTAAGAGTAGACTTCAGGGGCAACCCAACCAAATAATAAACCAGTTATATTTACAGCTACTGAGTTTCAGGATCAATGCTTAAGAGACACTTGTAGCTATGTGTTATTTGAAGTTCAGTTTGGTTACACAAAGCTATTTGAAGTCCTGTCTTCTCTTCCTACATGCCATTCATGTGACATTTAAATTAAAAATAATTTCATTGTAAGAGTTGTTTCCTCTTCAGGAATTGAATGTAGTTTGCAGATGAATCTAGTTGGAATACACAGCTCTGTAGCATAAAATTGTATGACTTGTTTTTGAAAAGTACAGACAAAAGCCATGTCCAAGAAAACTCACCAAAAGACTTTTTCTTTTCTTCAGTTCCTCTCTGAAGTTTCATTGTAAATATTAGCCTGACCAACTCAACTGATACTCAGAGAAAATCGATCTTTTCATGTCTCACACACAGGCATGTCTTACCTCATACATGACTTGTCCAGATGCCAGGCATTTTCTGTCACCAAATGCTAACTGCAACAGATGTAAACTCAGAGCATTCCCTTCACTGAAAAGGGTATAAATTAGGAAATTTGATTACAAAGTTGCTTTACAGTCCTCATTATCATTTTAATACGTTTAGGCTGAAACTTACTCAAGAACATGCTCTTGCTGAAAAGAAAAATGCCACTTCCCAAAACATGATAGTTAATTTAGCCATTAAAACATAAAGAAGAAAATTTTGACACTAACAGCTTCCATACCATTGGAAAGTTCTAATATGTTGTATGGACCTAAAATTTTTGGAAATAGCTCTTAACAGTAAAGTGTTCTCCATCAGAACTGTTTTGAAGTCAAACTTAAGACTGCCACTCTTTGAATAGCTGGGGCTGATTAAATAGCTTGCTGAGGCTGAGAGAGAGAGAGGTATCCTTCTCCCCTTGCCACCAAAGTTTATTCCCTCTCTTGCATGCACTGCACCCTTCCACACTGACTTGATTCCTTAGCCCAGCAGGAAACCATTCATTTGTCTGCTCAACACTGTTTGTTTTCTGCCAGGGGAGCCAAACAGGTTCACAAAGGCTCCAAAGACTGCTGAAGCCGTCACAAGGCAACCAGCAATACTGTCACCTCCCTCCCTTGGGGACAGCTGTATGTGAACAAGTGTTAAAAAAAAAAAACTAAAATCAGTGGCTTATGGTAATTTTTATTCACCTTTGTTGTGTAGACTGAACAGCCCACAAGTAGCAACAATTGCAAAGATCACTCTCAGGCTCTTGAAAAGTAAGAGCACAGACAGGAATCCTTCCTCCTGCAAGCCTAGTGTAGTGCCTACAGGTTTGAAAAAAGAAAAAAATTGATTCATGTACATACTTGCCTTGGAATGGGTTAATCCCCTATTTCCATCAAGACTGAAATGTAGAAAAGGATGTGTTATCAAGCACAGATTACTTATTGATTTTTTCATGTTTCACTTGTTTAATCCTGGATACTTTGAAGAATATTATCACAAAAATCACATTATTCACATACTGAAGCCTTTCAGTGTATGCCCTAATTGCAGTAACTCATTCTGAAAAATACATTCTAAAACCTGTTTCATCAAACTATACGCATTACCAGATTTCACTGAATACTACTGGATAGAACAAACTGACTTACAAAAATCACATCCCTACTGTCTGACATAACTGAAAGCAGCATGCTTTCCACAATTCCTCAATCCACAGACACAATAAGGAGAGCAATCTTAGTCCACTGCAGAGAAGGTGCTCTACTCCACCCATGTAAGACCTAATATTTATTTCAAAAGAGGATTTCTGAACATTCCAAGGTTATACTCAACATTTCAATCACAGAAAAAGATCTCTTGAAGTTAACATACTTTCTGAAGCAAAAAATTGAGACCACTGCACCTCCAACCATGGCCAAGTGGAAAGTAGTACTTACGCCCTCTTCAAAGTTCTCATATTTCCCAGTGACAGGTAGCCATCAGAAAAACCCACAATGAGTTGATTGCTTCTGCTTATGTAGCTCAGGGTTGACACTGCTATTCCTGAAGGACTTCGTAATTGAAAACAGAGATGCCTCCCTTCTCTGGTCACAGCTTCTCTTCTTTGTGGAATTTCAGCAGGAATTCTAGTGACAACTTCTAGATCTACATACATAAAAGCAGGCAATAAATGACCATGTTATGCCATTTCAGTTGCATTTTAGACTCACGTGACAACATGTATAAACTAATTCTACCATCCCAGGCAAAATACCCATTTCTGCAAAATCTTTTTTGCTGTTTCTGTATCTATTCAAAGAACAGAAGAAGTCTGCCATTGGACAGGTACTCTCACTCCTATTTCAAAGCTGGGTACAAGTGTAACTTTTGTAGACAAATTCTTCTTGGACTCTATAAATCAGGAGTATGGGTCTCAGATGAATCTACCTGAAGGGACATCAACACCTGAAGCCAATCTTGAAATAGCCAAAACAGTCTGTGCAATCTGAATACACAATGCACAGTGTTCAATCAATGCAAGACTTTTTCATAAGTCAGATTTATTTCAAAACCTCAAGTCTGCCCCAAGTCCATTAATGAAAACAGAACACTCCCAAGAAATACCTCTGACACAACTCCCTATCAGGCAGGTGCACTGACTCAAATGGTAAAATTCCTATATCCCGCTGGCAAGTATCACAGTGACAAAGGGATCTGGGTAGGAAGAGGCATTTACAACACCAGGAGAAGTTTTAAGCCACTGCCATTTTTGATCAGGATGTCAAACTGCCATCTGCAATCTGTAGGCAGAAATGTCAGTAATGTCAGTAGTGAGCCTGCACTCTGGTATCTTCAGAGTGGGACGCAAGCTGGTTTTTTACAAGACACAAATTTTCCTACTACTAAATTCAAATTTAATAACTGCAGTCTTACCTGATGCTTCTACTTCATTCTGACTGCAAGATAAATCATCCAAACAAAGGTCAACCAGAAGGACACGACCAACATCTGTAGCCACTGCTGCCACTCCAAAAAGCCATCGCAGACTCTGGTGTAGGTGTCGAGTGCTCACACTGGCTCCTCCGTCATTGCTTATGGGTTCTATTGCAGTTACCTTCAGGAAAACTACAAGTTAATATTGGAGCTGTTTGACAAGGTAAACAGCAATCACTCAGAAGTGAAGCAGTATTTAGCACATTAGAAACAAGAAAGTAAATACAGAATCATAAGACTTAAAACCAAAGCATTCGTTCCAATGATATCAAGAAAAAGGAAATTTATAAAAAGAAAGCTCTGTACAAAAATCTCTTTCTGCCTTCTATTTACTACATTTCCTACAGTTATTTAGCTGAACCAATTTCCATTTACAAGGTGCATTCTGTCTTTATAGCTCACCAATTTCCATTTCCTACTTAGAAATAAGTCTAAGAAAGCACACAAAATCAGTTACATGCAAAAAGCTTTATCATATCTAAGTGATTTAAGTAAGACAGACACAGCTAAATCCACTTCTCCCACTGCTCACAGACTGTCAGCACTGTGATACAGTCCAGGCCTTCTTTGCCAAACAGGTAGTGGGATAAATCAGGGCTGCAAGTCAAACGAGGCAGTGGCCAAAGGGCACAGTGGACACACCATTTCTATGGGAATCAAACATTCTTAGAAAGGGTTGAAGGGAGACCCTGGCTTAGCAGAAATTACACTTATCCTCACTTAGACTGAAAATACCCAACAGACAAAGACAAATTTTAAACGCACACCAGCAACTGTTGTGGATGTCCATGAAATCTGTAAAAGCCAACCTCAACCAGCCTGAGGCACAAGTGCTCTCTGCTCCCTGACGTGCCAAGCAGTCTGCACACTCTTCCAGGAAAAGGTGAAGACAGACCTTTCAGCACCCGCAGTACACCCCAGGACAACACTGGCTGTTCTAGCAGAGACACGAGCACACGAAGGCTCCTGCGCTAAAGCTGAACAACAGAAGAACATGGGCTGTTGTTCAGCCTCTTACAAAACACCACACCATGAAAACAGGCAGCTTTACCTCAACAACAAACGTTTACTGGAAAAGAAGTGAGTATCACAAGGTAGCCCATCTTTTTATGCAGATTCTTTTACCCCCAGAAGTGGGGAAAAGTATTGATACCCCTAAGCCCCCTAAAGTTGTCTTCGCTCCTATATCAAGCATGGAAACCAAGAAAATTTGGGAAAATACCATGCGACAGTTCTGAAATATGCAGCCATTATAAACCCACACACAAAAAAAAGGCCAGAAAACATGGTGATCACTGAAGCCTTAGAAGAATAATGACAAAAATGCAGAAAGGGATGTTGAGAAAAAGGCTCTCTTGACTGGGTGCTCTGAAGTGACAATACAGAAAACGTAAGTCCCACAAAGAGACACTCCAGAGCTTTTCCCAAAACAGAATGGTGTAGAAGTTAACAACACAAAAGTACATACCCTGCCTGGAAGAACAACTGCTTTAACCACTCGGGAGATTCCAAGGTCGTACAGACACAGAACACTTCCCTCGGCTTCTTCCAACCCAACCAGGAGCCCAGTTCTCTTCTGCCATGAAAACTCCTTTACCACACGAACAGTGGGAGGCTGCTCATTGACTCCGCTGAAACGATACGCAGAGAGCCGCTCTCCTGTCACAGAGCTCACGACCTCCAGCTGAGGACCACACGCCAGCCACGCCAGGCCACTTCTGCCTGTAAGAGAGAAGAAAGCTGACCAAACAAATCCCAGCCAGAAGGCGGAAACAACGGAAAAGTCACCGTCAAAGAGAGCAAGACCCACTTACCTACTTCTGGACAATTAGTTAAAATCACCCATTGCAATCCTCAGGCAGCACCTCTTACAATTAACAGCCTCAGGATTTTGCATTTCTACTTGTCATTCCTGTGCTCAACAACACTGACTGTCTGGGATAAAGATGACAATATAGCGACCTCCAGGCTTTATGCCCTATTTGGCTTGGGTTTGCTACAAAACACCATCAAATGCATACTGGAACACAAGTTGTAAAGCATACTTCAAATATAACCCATCCAAACCAATTCATTTCCAATTTCTTTATTTTACTTCACACGTGACTACTCTGGGAAGGGGTTTGGACATCAACAGGAAATTCTCTTGAAGTGGGCACTGCATGCAGAAATCTAAACTTCTCCAAGTGCTGATCACAGAAAGAATTTAACACGTGTTGCTTCCCTGAAGAACTTCAAGCTCAAAGGAAGGATTAACTCCAGTACAGCACTTAAGTCAGGTAGGTAAGATTCTACCTGGTCTTAACAGAAGTTCAGACACCCTGAGAGACATCCAGCTTGACTTTCAGGTTGCCTAGAAAGTCAACTACCTAATCTGCTTAGCTGCTTTCAGCAACTCTCACTGGGTCCTCATCTGCATCCTATTAAATACTTTGGAAATATGTGGGCAGTGCTTAACAGAGCTGACCTCTCCCTCTGTCCTTTTACTCAGACTAGAGAAGAAAAAGCAGACTGTTCTGCCTCTGTAACATTGTAGAAGAACTATTTCTGCATGGGATGTTATGACGGAGATAGAGCTTGAGCCTGTACAAAGAAATGTGGCCCAAAATGACACTACTGCTTTTTTCAAAACTGCCTTCTACTCCGTTCAAAACTGAGGAGGACTCATTGACTCATGATGGTCATGGTATATATCACTTTAATAGCACAAAATTGGTGCAGGCTTTTGCAATTTCAATGCTTAACTCTATTAATGGTTTAATATTAGCACTTCTAGTTGTTAAAATATCCTGTTTGTTCTATCAGAACCTGATGCATTTTAACAGAACCAGCCTGATGCTATGACCCTGTGCTTCAGGCAGTAAGAACTTTAAACCAAGACCAAATCTAAAGGAAAATGCTCACCTCCAGAAAACTTCCCACACAGCCCAGAATCTAGGGTGGTCTCAGCTTCCTTAAGTGCCTCAACAGTCACCTCTGGAAACTGCAGCAGACTGCTCGTTACCTGAGCTGTTAGGTCTCGCATTCTTCACTGAAAATGAAGAAAAAAAGGCAAAAATAGTCTCATGTGAGCCATAAATATTTTTGAGAATGGCCCAAGTTTCATCAGTATGCAGTGAAAAATCTCGTATACATCACCTGTAGTTCTTTTTGCTTAAAAAAATTGAACTCAGGACAGTTTTTCTTCTCACAGCTGAGTAAAGGGAGAATCCTTTATTTTTCTGATGCCTATGAGATCACCAACAAAAGGTGACACAGAGGTATGGACAATATCAATAACAGGGAAGAAAACAACACACCAAGTTCAAGTCTACTCACATAAGTTAGCAAGATGTGATTTCAGAAAAATTATGTATTAAAAAACTTCTCAGTAAGAGGTATAATTTTCCATTTGTCCTCTCCCTTGATTTAACACTTTAACATTTGTTGTCAATTGTCTTCTAGTAAATATCACACATCATTCATGTCTTATTTACATTTTGTACTGCTGTTATTTTCAAGCAAAACAGACTTTCATAGGTCATCAATTGCACGTACTTTTCCATGCACTCAGGAAGTAAACATAACATAGCCCTTCAAAACACTGGGATTTTTCTGAGATCCTCATATTCCTTATTCCTTCCCTTCCTTCCTATTGCCTTTCCTTATCATATCTTTGCAGCATTTGACAAAAATTTCTAGGCTTTGTGGAGGCATGCACCAGGACCAGAAGCAATTGTTAAACCTGAAAGACTGACCCCAACCTTTCTATTGGCAGAAGCTCCAGACTTGGAGTCACGCTTTATTAAGGAACACTTAAAACACAGGGAGCACTTTCGTTTAAGCCAGCAATTCTGCTTGCTTCATGCAAAGACCCCGAGACCCCCCAAATCACACTGGATTCCTGTGAGGCTGTGCCCTCCCCATTACACCCATCCCTCGTCCTGCGATCACCACTCTGCACACAGAGAGCACTTCTCGCCTCCTCCATTTGGACGGTTCACAAAGAGCAGATGGGAGGGGAGGGGTGTAGGCCCCTTCAGCGAAGGTGTGCATTGAAAGCCTTATCAATCAAATGATCAGACCTCTTAACTCCCAGAGCAGCAAATCGCACACTCCTTGGCTCTTACACACCACGGCCTCCTGCTGAAGTGCTTCTGCCTGGCTAAACAACCGCCATGTTGTTGCCACGCACACTCATGGTGCCCGCTCAGCCTCGCTGCTTTCACAAACAGTGTATATGTATTACCTGCATAAGGGTACGTGCAATATGAGAGCATAGGCTACATTATGGTGTTCAGATCACAGGAGGGCCCCAGTGCCAGCAGCTGGTGGGACTTGCTGAAAATTATGCAGAAGCAGCAGTTAACAGAACTTACATAACGATGAGTGGAAGGTTGGGAGCTCGGTAACAAGTCAAACCAGCCCAACACAGCTTGTTCAGAAGCATGTTGCACAGCTTACATAACCAGGGCTAACAATTTCATATGTAACACTTCTCCAAGGAATATGTATATCCCTAGTTAATAGATACGTGTATCATCTTGAGCCAGGCATGCCCATCGGGCAGAGTTATTCCCTCGCATGCCCAACTGCATAATAAGGTAACGTCTACTTCTTAATACTACATGGGTTTTAAAGAGTTTTATTCCTGCATTTTGATAACAGGACCACAGGTCATCGTGTGAGTCAGCAACCAAAGTCAGGTCATGGGGGACAGAGGCCCGTCTGTGTCTGCAGTGTCAGCAAGTGGGTGGGGCAGTGAAGGTCTCAGTGCCAGGAGCTGGGCTGGAGAGACCACAGGGATGTGGCACATGTATCCAAGCTGCCAGCAAGGGAAGGGTGGTTGTATTTTCCCCTAGCCATATCACAAGAATCACAGGGTCAACTAGGCTGGAAAAGACCTCTGAAGTCTTACATTGAGTCCATGTAAACTGCTTGCAGACTTCAGGGTGGGCAGCCAGTGAGTAGGAGGAAAAACCAGGAAAAATCTTCCCAGTCTCTGGGAAGATTGTTTCAGGCAGAGGGCAGGGATGCAGCCCAGGGTGGGGGCACAGACAATTGCTGGGCTTGAAGCTGCGCTGAGCTTCTGGGTCTCTGTAAACACAGGTGTGTGTGGGAACCGATAGGCAAGGGAGGGGGATTTTGGGGAATTGCCACAGTGCTGGATGGGAGGAGCCAAAGGCACAGCCCTGTCTCTAAGAACCTATGTAGCCAGACTTGTTGGTGTCATGCACGTGCATGGTGCATGCTTAGCCTTGCTACTGGCCAAACTTGCCAAGAGAAGAAAGCAGCAGCCACATCCATGGGACTTAGACAGAAACACCCCCAAGGTATGGAGTGCATCCGGGCAGGCTCCTGTGACCAGGAAGGAAGATGCCCTGGGTTAGCAGATTTGTAACATCCCATCACTACTTGGGCAGGCACTGACATCAGATGTTAACCTTCACAATAGTAAATTCATTAACTTTAAAAAAAACCACCAAAAACCAAGCTGTTCTGTACCAGCTTAAAGGTTGAGAATTAAAAGTACAAATAAAGATCCAGGACATGATTTTTTTTATTCCCTCTATCCAAGACCTGTCTTAAATAGGAGTAACTCGAGTTCAAATAGGGTTATGCATTTTTATGTTGATAATGCGAGTGAGATGGGAAGGAGTGAGTTTTCACTGTTGTTTTTATCACAGGGACGCACAGTGGATGATGTCAAAGGAAAACAGCAACATGTTCACAAAGTGTATCCTTAAATTATTTCTGAGGGCACAGAGCTGGGGAGGCTAGTTAGGGAAAACAAAGTGCTCTTTCTTGAGGGAAGTAACACAGGAGTAATTCACAAGCAGCCATCAGTCACCAGGGTGGTACTGTTGTAGACAGAAGGCACTACTGCACAGGAGTGAAGCTTTCTGCTTACAGCAGTGCTAGAATCCACTGGACTACAAGCACAGAAATATGGTGATGGAGGAGGAGCACCCAGCAGCTACGAAAACTGTACTAAGACTAAAAAAAGACGACTTCTAGTGCATAAAGAGGTATGGCACAATAAAGCTTCTGTCCTGTACAAACCTGTACAGAAGAAAGCATCAATTTTCTTTACTGAGGTGGTGGAAAGACTTTCTCATGAATACCCTGTGCAAGAGTGAAGTTTGGAAGGATAAAGAATATTAAAGATCAGTGTTTGAACAGTTGTTTTAAAACGGGTTACTAAAACCTGACATTTTTGGTTCTAATGTTAGGGATCAATTGATTACACACTTGACAAATTGTTTTAGGGTTTATCTGTAAATCTAGCTGTAATACACCAACTTCTAATTCAACACTATTTTATAGGATCCACAATGGCTTTACTCTAAGTTGCTCCATATACTCAGTTTCCATTTTTCCCAATTTGAAATTAACTGCGTCTTTTATAGTACAATCTGGAAAATTCTTGGAAATAAATGATGCTTTGTGCTACTCCCACGTGGTACTGCTTGGTCTTTTCCTGATGTCAGGTGACTTTGAAGAGCTCTTTACACACAACAGGCGCTGGGTCACTGCTTGCACCATAACCAATCATCAAATAGCTGTTCTCTGGGCTGGTCTGACTGTACACCAGCAGAGCAGCATTATAACCTGACCAAGTGTTTTCCAGCACTCCATGCCCAAAACCACAAAAGGCCCCTCTCTAAAAAAAACAAAACAAACCACCAAGTGCATCCTCTTCATAGATGTGCAAGCACTGCTGTCCAGTAGGAGTGTCCCCACTAAGAGTTTAAATTACAAATCAAGATTTGCAAACATGCTTGAAAGTAGCACTGAGTTGCAGGATGTCAGAAATGTAGTTAACATCTAGGTAACACTTCAAACCAGTAAACAGGTAAACACCAGACATTTGCATTACATTTACATGAATGTTAATAAGGAGATATTAAAAAACAGTCTACAACAGTATATTAGCTAAAACTGACTTTAGTTGGTTCTTTGAGAAAAATCTTACCTGGCCTGTGTGACTGTTGGATCCTGCTGAGATGAGCATGCCATTCTTGTCCTTTAGGAAAGAAGCCCCAAAAGGTCAGATCAAAAGTAAAGATTTTCCTATGCCCTGGATTCCTGAGGTCGTATATGCTTGTGCTGTTCATTTTTACAGAAATCACACACCTACTTCCTGCATCCTTCTGTTATTAAAATCCCAATTATAGTATCAAAATACAAGCCACCAGTCATTCATTAATAATTCATGTTTTCGCCTGGATTTAAACCAAGTTCCGCAGAATGCACAACACATCAATGACTGCTGTGGGATAAGCCAGCTCTTGAACCATCACAGACAAGGAGTAACTGATCTGAATGAATGGACACATCATTCAGTAAATAACCACAACTTGCATCTTTGCCTCTGCCTCACACATACTGGTCATCCACACAGCCCAGTGCATCGGAAAATGCATTTTATTTTAGGACAGCTTTAATTCAAAAGGAACCACAGTACATTTATCTCCAAGCATATCAAACAGACTCATTATCTTGACTACTTTGATGAAAAAAGCATTCCTAGAATGGTAACCCAGAAGTTTTGCACAGAAGACAAAAGGACAAACAAAAGAAGAAACAAATGCTACCCTATTATCTAAAATTCTGTCATTTTAGAATTTTCAGATTGGCCTAAACTAATCAGTTACAAGCATTGCTTAACTATTCAAGAGAACCTATGGAATGGTTTCTACCTGTAGCTTCTCTTTTCCCACCAGAAATCAACAACTATTAGCTATTTATGATTCGTTACATGGGAAGTAATCACATGGGAAGTGATGAAATTGCAGCAAATAAAAAAAATATTGTGCTAACAACCCTGAGAGTAGTCTTCCATGAGAGGAAGTTCTGATAGGAGATTACATTAGTTATCTGTGCCCTTATCTGCACATTGGGCATGTACAAATATTAAGGCTAATAAGCAAAGTCAATGTGAATCAATTAGCACTTTACGCACCAAGTAGCTATCAAAAGTAAAATAGATTCACTTTAACTCTCCTTTGTGTTATAACCTGGAAAGAATACTTTCATCAGCTTTAACTTCTAAACATTTGAAGAAAAAAGGTCTTAGGAATATTTGTGTTAACTCTCTGAGGTAATGCAGGGAACCATTTCCACTGAAACATTTCTATGCTCTATTTAGTCATGAGCTGTATTGAATAGCTCCTGTGAAATTCTCATTGTTTGCAAGAAAACTGCCACTCTATGCCCCTACAGCCTTCTGCATGCATCCACAACAGTGCATCACCTCTTCCTTTCACAGGCCCCTCACACCCTTCTCTGGCACTACGAATATTATCTTCCTCTCAGATACACATGCAAACATCTGCAAATCATCTCTTCCACTCACCCTATACATACTTGTAGCAAGCCTACACAAAAAGCACCCACATAAAATCTGTTTTCTCCACTTCATTAGAAACCCATCCTTGAGTTGCCATCTTAACACTGTTAGCTAGCTTTTCCCTTTCTCAGGCTCATACTAGAAATTCAGTGTCTGTTTTTGCTTCCATTTCCTCCTATGTCCTTCAAATTTCTGAACTCTCATTCCTTGTTACACATTATGCTCACACTCCTTTTTAAACTGCTCCTTGGGGACAGTGGTGAGCACTGGAGAACAATGCATCGAATCCAAATCACCAAAAAAAAAAAAAAGGGAAAAAAAGGAGTAAAACATTTTAACATATAATTAACATTCCTTCAAACTAAAAAATTACTAGAAAATTATGAACCTTTAGGGAGTTATTAAACCTAATGCCAATTGTCTTTTTATTGTTATTGCTCGCTTTCTTCCTAAGTACAGCCAAATGAGAATTTAGGTGATGCAAAGAAAGAGGCTAAACATTATTTAGCTAATATTATGTTTTCATCCTTTCTAATTGATTTTCATACAAAAAATATACATATATGTAAGTATATGACAGAAACATGTTAAAACCCTATTAAGTAATCTTCACTAGGATTATATCAGAAAATTCCATTTAATAGGAACTGGAGTATTTTATAAATACTCTTGTGTACTACACAAAACATAATCTGATTTGCAATCTATATTCTCTTTCAGTTTTGAAAGTTTGACTTTTTACCTTATTTTCTGAGCTATTCGCTGCATTTCTGTACAATGTAGATAAAAAAAAAATATTGCTACAACTTCCCTCTCTTCTCCTCTGACCATATTTATACTGTCATTCAAGTAGAGAATACTCAGAGAAAATAATTACTAACCTGAGTGAAAGGTCTCATCCAAACTGCCACTTTCACACTTGAAACATCTGACATTTTTTAAAGTTTTCATTCAGTCATGAATATTCCTCCAAGGAGAAAAATACTCAAGTGCATGCAGGTCATTCTCTAGAATGACCTGTTCTGATAGAAAAATCATGGCCCCAGAACAATCTTCTTTTACAAGCTTAGTCTATTATTAATACATTCATTCACTATTACAAGCTATTAGTTAATAAATAATGTCTTAGAGTAACTGTAGTAGTTTTTACTAATTGAAAAGTTTAATATCAGGTTCCACCATTCTGTAGTCTTCAAAGTTGCATCCATATATAAATTAACATACAGAAAAATAATCTATTGTCTAAAAGACTGCACATCAAAATAGTACTTCCATGTCTGCTTTTAAAAGAATAGGTTTGTGACTTTATTTATACAAATTGAAGCTTTATAGGGACATTTACTCCTTAACCAAAGACTGTTGATGAAATAATTATTCAAAAATATGGTTTGTAACTAAGATTTCTGTACATTTTTGTACCTTTTTCAGACTATTATATTAGCTTTTCCATCAAGTTTTCAGTGCTGTGATATGCAGGTCTCAAATACTGCAAAATATGTTTACAGACAGTAAGTATTTCAATTATAGTAGCATTCATATTAACATTATGAAAATAATTTTGGCTCAAATTTCAAAGTATGTGGGTAGTATCTCTTCAAATTTGATATGCTATTGTTAGCATCACACCATCTATACAGTTAATTTTTTGCTGACAACAAACTGTAAGAAATAGCAAAACATCTGAGGTGAGATCTAGTTTTATGAACTAGAGAGCAGCTCTCCCAAAGTTTAAGACAAATACAAAAAAATATTGCACAGCTTAAAACACAATTGTTTACATTCTGACTTCAGTACAGTACAACTTAACCGTGAACATAAGGAATTACCAGTTTGTATTGCGAGTCCAATTATTTGTACCTGAAGGTCAAACATAATTTCTAAAATTTAAACTAGTATGTTTAAAATGTTTACTTGTTATAGGAATTCTAAACAAACCTTTCAAAAGCTTCTGGAATTACTTTTGAGGGTCTGTAACTCCCACAAACCAACATTAAAAGTTCTGAGCAATACAGGTCATTCAACCCAATATTCCCTCAAAAAGCTATCAGACAGTAAGCACATTGTGAAGTATACATTTTTATTTAACATTCCTAAAATAAGCTGTATTTACATATTATATAAATGTATGAAGTCTTAATATAAAATAGAAAACTGCATTGACTGAAGAAATCACACTCCATATGGAGTTACTTACTGAAGACCATTTTTTATGAAATTTTACAATAATTTATATAAATTATCTCTTCCAAATTAGATGATTTTTCTTCTTTTTACTAATTCACACAATTTTGATGACTTTACAAACAGTGGTGTACATTATAAACTTTAAAAAACAGTTACAGCATCTTCCGGCGCAAAACTGGCTTTGGAAAATTAGACAGTCTTTTTTTGTTCTTTCTTAGAGTCTTCCCTGCTGCATCTGTGGTTTCTTTCTGTTTGCTTTTTGTTCCATCTACTGGACTTGCAAAAGGAGAGATGAATTTTACTTCCACAGGTGGAGGTGACCAAGAACATTCTTTTGTGGTTCTGAAAAGAAAGGTAAGTATCGAAACAATTTTTTAAGACCAACAGTATTTAGTAGAGGAAAAAAAAAATACCATGGAATTACAAAATTAATGCCGAAGAAATATTCATTGGCTTCTTTGTAGACAGAATTAAAAGGTACCTAAGTAAGTTTCATTTTGCTTTAATTCCTTACCAGACTGTCCCAAGCATTCTTGGTCACTATTTGTAAGAGCTTTTAGAGCTCTCTGTTCCAGCTTTTAAGAGGCAAATTGTCCTCAAACAGTTTTCCAGAAAGAATCAGGAAACATGTCCAGAAACAAAAAGTTCCATTCACTTATTGTCTGGCTCCTTCCTGCCTTGTGTGGGGAACTAAAGACCATAAGAGTGTGGTTTCATAAGGTGAATTAAGACAATTAATTAAGAGTGAATTAAGAGCATGACATTATTGCAATGATTAGTATCCACGGGCCCTTTTCTATCCCCTCCCTCTTCCATTTCCATCAGAAAACCAAACCCTTAAATGGGGAAAAAGGTGCCTGTTAAACCAGCAAGCTGGACCGGCTCATAAAGTCAGAGGAGAACTGCACGAACAAGTGAG